GACTAGTACACCTGGGAATAAAGTAGTCAGTAAAACAAGTGTGCTTTTGAATTGTGCTGGTCACTTCTTTAAAGGGAGGGATTTTCAGCTTGATAAGGWAACTATCACTGATTTCAGTGTATCAATGTTTACAGTTCAGATTTCAGAACTGTGTTAATTTACATCAGTAAGCATGCTTTACTAAATTGAAAAAAAAAAGGTTTACTACTAATAAGACTTTATACTAAATACAGTGCAAAACAAGGGATGTTGTTATGTGAAATGTGCAATTTATGTAGGAGAAAGMTGTTGTGTTTTGTTATGGGGCTTCACTTTTTTCATTCATGCCGTTAATCCAGCAGCAGTTATAAGTAATTACGTTACTTCTGTATTTGGAAGTGAAGAAACCAGAATGGTGATTAGCAGATATTTTGATTGCATTTCTTGCCCATCAAACTCTTCATACTAAACCTTCAACTATGCAAATTTGGAGTATTTCTGGCATTAGAGACATTGTTCTCTACAAAGTGTAAAATCAGTTYCAGGAACACCTACACATGTCTTGTATATCTGAACATAATGCCTGCATTTCTAGGCAAGAAATTAATAATTGTTAGCATGTTGTTTTTTTTTTTTTTTATGGAGAACAGAGAAAAGTTTCAGGCACACATGTGCTATCTGTGTATAAATTCTCCTTTGGGAAATCCATGATGTCACGCACACTAAAAAATTACAGTATCTAACTAACCATGGTGAAAGAGTAGGACTGTGCTGAAGGAAATACCAAGTACATTCTGTACAGGAAAGTTCTTGAAAGGCATAATTGCTGCTGCCTCCATAGCAATTAAGGTATTAAATGTTTTGTGTTATTTATTCTTACTATTCAGGTTAAAATCATTAATCAGTCCTGTTGTGGAAAATTGTAGTTTCCGTGGATGGAAACTTGCTCTAGCTCTACCCCCTCTGCCCCCTTTATGGAGTAGAAGTCAATTAAAGAAATTGTGTGTGAGATGTAYATTATGCAAGAGCTGGTAAAAAGCAAAAGAAGGCTGAGCAAGTCCAAAAGCCAATTTCTAGGCTGTTCTAGAAACTGTTTCTAGGTTTTCCTGTTTCGGTAAACAGAAATAAGTCCCTTAAGTCCCATTAAGATGTATGTCATGCTTTCAGACACAGCAAGATGTTGGACCTCAAAAGAAGCTCCCCTGCCTTTCAGGGAGTTGTGTTGGGCTGATTGAGAAACTGGACGTGTCTCCATGGGCTGAAGTTCAAAGCTGAAATCAATGTTGTTGATCAGTTTTGTAGGACTGATGTAACTTAATTTATTTTTTTCTCCTAATACTCTCTGAAAACTCTTTCCTTGCAGAGGGGACTCTATGAAGTAGAATGAGATTGAGTCATGAGGTTGGCATAGAGGGAGTTTGCCTCTATCTTTGTTGTTTTTTTTTCTTCTCCACCAAATATTCCTTTCTCTTCTCTCAGTCTGGCTTCTGTAGAGCAGCTGAGGATTTCGATGGCGTGGGGAATTCCTGGAAATCTATGTTTGTCAGCAGTGTTGGCTGAATGCTAAGTAATTTGATTTGTATAGTTTTTAACAAAGCTTTTGCTTCCTAGTTTGGCTATGTGGCCTGGTAGGAATCCTGACAGAAYACTTAATAAACTCTCAAATCCAGAAAGGAAAGCATGTAAGAGGGAGACTGGAATTCTAAGACTTGTTATAGTCAGTGGCTATAGTCAGAAGAGGAGGAAGATTTTTTTTTTTCTAATTCTTTTTCTGTGATTAAATGAATGGTTTATTAATGCAGTGTTTCTAGTTCATCTTATTTTTAAGGCCTGCTTAGTGTTGGGTTGAGAGGGCTGTGAATCTTTCCTGAGTGTGTATTAACAAAATGCATGCACCAATCTGAGTTGCCCAGAATAGATCAAATTCTTAGAGGATTGCTGGAAAGTTCCCCACCTGACATTGTATGTATTTTAACTGTATGCTGTATTTAATTCTTCAAAGTAATTTATCTCTGCATGAACAGGTCAAATCACGGTGTGTGATCTTTTTAGGGCTGCTGATCTTTATTTTGCCTACCAGCAAGCACATTTGATTAATGTTGTATTTCAAGATTCATTTTTTTCTGTGTGATAGTACGATGGTTGTTACAACTTTCGTCTTCATATATTTTTGTGTAGTTTCTCACTGCATGGCCTTTCTGGAGTACTTAAAGAGCATTCAAATTAAGTGTAAARAAATTATGTTAAACACTTCTGAAAAGGATACTCTAAATTACCTAATTCTTCTTCTGCACAAATTAGGATATTTACACAGTATATAGATGATCTCCCAGTGTATACCTTAAGAAGTGGTACATATCCTGTAACACAAATGGCTTTTGTCCTCAGTATCTGTATAGTGTACTTGCTTTTTTATAGCAACAATATTATCTACATAAAATGGGAAAATGTCACTASAAAAGGTTTAACTGTGAAAAACTAAGTGATGGAGGGATCTTTCCTTATTTAGGACTYGCTGCATCAGAACTTAATAGGATATTGAGAAAAAGCAAGTACCTCTAAGGTTCCTTTTGGTGCTATCTTCCCCATTATGTGTCTGTGTATTTCTGTATCACATATACTGAGGTGGAATCAGGACCTGGCTGCAGTCCAAAGACCAGCCAGCCCCTCTCAGAGGGCTGCCTCCCTCCCCTTTCCKGTTACCAGATTACATTTGGCAAATTACATCCACTGTGTCCCCCACAGCTTTGCTTTCAAAGGACAGAACTTGCATTTGGACTGTTTTACAAAATTAAAATGTAATGTTAAATTCTGTGGTATATTCAGTGATACCTGCTGTCTCACACACCAGTTTTTTCCCTGCAGGGCTGGGTGTCTGATAAAGGGGAAAGGTTATCAGARTTGGCCATTTAGATCTGTTTCCCTTGCTGATGTGCTGTGTATGCAGCAAACTTATAGACAGTGGTTGGCTAAAGGTGTTGAATGAGAAAAGGTTGGTCAGATCAGAGTGCACAGCAGTCATTACCTTKCTAGCTGTAGTAATTCTAATGGTGAGCTGCTTATCACAAATTTTCATATTAAATAATCAAGATGATACCTAACTGTACACTATTCAGCAATGTTAGCTTTTGTAGGTAATGAAACGAATGTAGCTAAGGATATAAATAGTAAAACTGGATGAAATTGAGGTAGAAAGTGTTGGTTATGTTAAATCAATTATGCATATGCAATTAAAAAATCAGTAAAAGCTAATCCGTTGCCAAGAGTATAAGAAATACATACCTACTTGAAGATATAAAACTATCTTCAATACCACCTCATCAGCTGCCAGAAATGAAACATCTCTAATTTGCCTTGTTGACCACAGTTATTTTTGTTGTCTTGAATAAAAGGATTGACGTTCACAAGACAGAATGACAGCTTTTCTTACTGAATTGCATTTTTCGTTTTTGTAGTTACTGACCTTTTTCAGGCACTGATGTTGATTCACTGAGGTTTGAGGGCTGATGTGCCTTGTACTTGGCCATTATTATCCATATTAGTGTTACTTTTTTTTCATCCCAAGCTCCATGCTCCTGTTAGTTTTTGTTATTGTTTTTAGATAGACTTACTTGCTCATAGTGTAGTTCATGGATTCAAATCATTTGCCAGGAAGGGTGTGAGAGCAATGAAAAATCATGCTCTGGGACTAATGTGTGTTCCTGCATGAATTTATTTGTCCAGTAATGACACTTGTATATGCAAGATAGAAAAAAAAAAAAAAAAAAAAAAAAAAAAAAAAAAAAAAAAAAAGGTGGTGTCTGATTTGGCTAATGTGGGATGTTTTGATATTCTTCTCTTCCTAGCCATATTTTTTTTCCTTTCTCTCCCCTCATGACATCTTCTTCCTTTTTCTATTCCTCCTTAGCTGCCRACATCTTCCTCCTTAGCACTCATTCCATAACTGTGTTATTCTCTTCTGGTCTGAATTTTTTGTTTGCTCTTATTATAATTTGACCCTTGTAAATGATACATTGCTAGACATAGGAAGAGATTCCACTTCCAGTCTAAAATTAACTTTCTAGTCTAAAATGGTCTTCTAGGCAACCTCTGTAATCAATAAAAATAAATACCRCAGGAGGCAATTCATCACATTTTAAGATTATGTTGAAACTGGAAGGATTAATTGCTGCCTGGGCCACATGTCTGTGATGATTAAAGGGAGTGCCTGAGATGACAGTTTCAAATGAGGTACCTGGGTCTCAGATGGCTAAAATTARATGAAAAGTAGCCTACCTGTTGTTCCAGGAATGGTGTTGGTAATGCATTGCTTTCAGAGGGTCTTGTCCTACAGAGGTGGAAACTGTATAAAATTGGGATTAAAATGCACCCAGAGTTAGATTTTTTTTTCCTGAACTGATTGGTGATGGTACCAACAGTTATATTTGATTTTCACTAGTGACCAGTAACCTTGTGATGTTCTAGAAATCAAACCCCTCCTATTTTGTTAGAATAGTTAATATTTTTGTGTAGCTCTTATTTGAACTTCTCAGCAAACTGCAGAATCCATTTCATTTTTGACATGGAGATTTAGACGCTTCAGAGCATTTCTGACAAGGCCACACAGTACTGTGCAACAAYGTAATTGGGTACAAACCCAGTTACAGCAATCCAATTTTAAAATCATAAGGAACTGAGTTTACTGATAAGATAGTATCTGCTATTTCAGTGGTTGTTACTAAATCAGGAACATCTCCATACAGAGTGTYCAGATGGATTTGATCATGAACAGTTGATAATTTTTGATGAATGCTGCACATAAGCATTTGGAACTCTTAAAAAAAATGGAAATGCATAAAACAACTCTTTATGAACAAATACTGTATGAAAAGATTTTGAGCAAAACTGTATATGAGAAAGTATTTATCAGTTACAACTATTCCCGTAGGAAAACAGATATTTCTTCTGGTGTTTAATATTTGTTTTTTTTTTTTTTCTGGTATATTTTTTATTTATTCTTTTAATATTTGATCTTTTGACAGTGCTGTAACTCACCATTGAACCGACACATTTGGAAGAGTTCATTGCATCAAAAACTTCCTCCACATAGACTGATGCCATCTCAGCAGTCACCAAACACTGTGAACTAAAATTAAAAACCTTTATGGAGTTTATAACACCTGGGTCAAAAGGAATATTCTTCTGATAAATAAGGAGGACTCTTGCTGCCGGTATGACGAGCCAGGAGAAGTGGGTTAACCTTAGCCCTGGAGAGTTCTCTCAGCTTCAGAAATATGCYGAATGTAAGTAATTTTAAAAATACTTCATTTTATAGATAAATAAAAATTAAGAGTATTTTGAACGTAGAATATAATATTGTTGTAGAGTATAAMGCTACTGATACTGTTCACTGTCAAGTAAGAGGTTGAATTATGGTTTATGTTTATTTTTTTCARTCCAAAATATATGTTCTTTAGAAGGAAAGAACAAAAATCAGTTGGGCTCTGTAACACTTTTTCTGAAGTTTTTTTCCAGTATGATACCATGTAGACTGACTATGGGTTTGTTAGGTGACTGAGTATTTGGAGAATGTATTTTTAAGGCTTTGCCTTAATTTATATTAATTTGCCTCAATTTGCTGTAACAATTTGTAGACCACTACAGCAGGCTTCTAGTTAAAAAGAAGGCTTGCCTCAGTCATGGAGGAGGCATGGAGATCCCGGAAGAAACACATCTAGGTATCCAGTATGAAGATGTTTCTAGTATTTTAAGCAATGTGAAGGAGGAACTATCCTGTGAAAGGCCAAGAAAGAAAAATATCTCTAAGTTTCAGACTCAGTTCTTTAGTTATTGCTCAAGGAAAATTCCTTTCAGTTGCTTGAGACTTAAATGTGCTTAGRGAGCAGCTACTGAACATATAACACAGATTTTGGAGACAGTTCATGAAGTCTGATAAGATCTGAACTGAAAAAGTTCAGTAAAATTTAGGAATTTCTCCTGTATGATAAGTTATCCAAATTTAGATTTTTAAAAATGGAGAAAAACTCATATGATTTATGAATGTTACTGATTTATTACAAAAGGAAACTTTTGGTTATAAAGTCAAATGCAGACTGGTGATTGCTTTGGGTTTTTTTGTGCCTGTGACATCACAGTATATACTTAATTGTGTTTTGGTGTCATGCAACAGAGCAATCATGCAATAATAATCAAATTATTATTAGAATGAATAATGTAATTATTACTGAATAGTACATTCCACTAGACTTAGATTTAGAYTTCTTAATATTTTCTTGTTATCTAGTTAAACCATGAATTAMAATCTATATAATGCAATGTCRTTGAACAACAACAACAAMAAAATCAKRTAGAATTACTGAAATTATTCTTTCTGGAACAAATATATCTGAATCTCACAGTTTTTTGCAGTAATTACTGTTTAAARTATTCTAGTCCTTAGAGTGTTCCCTCCCCATGTCACCTTCTCACCTTCTCATCTGAAAGGATAAAGTATAGAGTTGAAGGAAATTTGCTTCAAATATTGCTTTACATCCTTAGTGATATTACTGAACAATGAGCAGTATTTTCTCATTTCATGATGAAATATAAAACATTGTATTTAAACAATATAAAATATTGTCCAGCATTTAATCAATTAGGACTTTCTATTTAAAAGAAGGTACCTTAAAAATCTGGTACAAGTATGAGAGATGAAAATATCTGTGCTTTTTTTTTTTTTCGTATGTGATAAATAGAAACATTAAATATAGAGAACAAGGTGCAGTTACATGGAGCTTCAAAAGAACACATCCAGATTTTATATTGATGATCCATTGCTTTCAGAGACYATTGCAAAGAAAACTTTGTATTGCACATTTTTATATTAATAATTTRTTTGTTTTAAATTACATCACCAAATAAAGAGTCAACATAATAGAGTGGTTTAAAAAAAAAATCACTTTTGAAAATATTTTTTCTTTCTGGGAAAATATTTGCAAGTTATTTTTCTTTTCTTTTTCTTTCAATACCAGAATTTGAAGATTTCTAATAGGGATAGAAAGTTTTGTGGTTCTTTTTTCCCATGTGTTCTTACAATTTAAGCCTCAGTGCAGCATTTGCTGAAATATTTGCTTTCCTTGAGGGGGGAAAAAAAGGGTAATTAAGATATTTCTTTACTTTTGGCTTCCCTTTGCTTCTCCAGCACTTCTTGCACTCACAATAGTTCAGAGCTATTGTTTTAGTAGAACTGTTGGTGTCAGGGAAATTGCCCAAATATGTTTGTGTTCAGGTTTGTGTGTGTACATTAAAGGAAGATACATTGTCTTTCAAGCTTTCTCTGCTCCTCTGTAATGAAAGGTTGTTAGTTTTTTGAAAATGTGACTTGTGAAGCATTTTTGTGTCAATATCTAAATTCCTGCGGCAATTAGAAAAAAAAGTGTTAATAGTATATACATTTTTGTGTATAATGCCAAGGGAATAAACCCTAGGAATGGACTATAATTTCAATTTCTGGGTTGTCCAATTTAATTTAGCTAAATGACTGATTAATCGTATCTTTAAGTGTGTAATATAAGACTTTAAAATGCAATTTAAAAAAAAAAATGTAACCAATATTTTTTAATTTGATGCACTTGTTAGTAACATGTTGAGATACAAAAGGTTGAACAGTAGATACCTTTACTCATTACTAAATATTAATTAAATTATATGGACTTTTGTGAAGTTTGAATAYATAATTGCTTTGCTGTTTCATTGTCTTTGTTGAACTTGGCAAGATAATGAACTGAAAATCACCAAATTTCATTTGGTGACTTGGTAGAGTTGGATTTACGTAACCCCAAAAAACTACCAAAACCAAAAAAACCCTAAACAAAAATTCTTAAAAAAAAAAAAAAGTCTGGTCATCTTTCTCCAGCATGGAACTTGAAGTACCAGTGGTTCTCCTGCAGTATGTAAGGCTGATTGGGGTGACAGAAGGTGACACTGTGGGGGAGTTTATGGCAGCTGTCTACCTACAAGTGGTGGTGGGGAGCACCCAGATGTTCCTCGTGCTCAGGAGTGGGGTTTCACTGCAGGGCTTTGGAATACCCTAGGGAATTCTGAGAGAGGTGATCTGTGTTTCATTCACCCGCTGATGTGCAGGTTTGTCATTTGCTTTGCATTTCAGTTTGGTGTAGAGACTTTATTTCATCTTACCTAAACTGAAACATTATTTTAACTGTGGAAATTTTTAACTTTCTTGAATTTTAAGAATACTATATATATATATATATATATATATAAATTCTATTTTAGTTTCTAGTACTAGAGTACTAGAACAAAGAGTATGGTCTACCAAAACCTGATCTGTCTTGGATGTCAGTGTCTTGGATCATATTCTTAGTGGCTGATAGTCATTTCTATCTAATGAAATCTCTGGAAATCAAAATTACTTTTATATAGCTGTGGTGGGTTGATTTTGGCAGGATGCCAGTTGCTCACCAAACTCTTCTATCACTCCTCATTCTCTTCCCATTTTCTGGGGTGGGGTACATTCCATGGGAGACAGTCCTCGACAAACTTCTCCAGGGTAGACCTTTCCCCTGGGCTGCAGTTTTTCATTGACACAAAACAGATAACCTTTAGCAGGGGAATGGGAAGAGGTGTTGTGCTGAGCTTCCTTGTGCTATAATCAGGAGGAAATTTGTAGAGTGCAGGGTCGATTTGAATTTCTCATTTTTGGAGCTCAAAGTAAATTTGTTTAAGACAGTTTGCTTATCCATTTTAGGCGCTTCATGTGTGTCTATTCATGCAGAAAATAYTGTCTTCAAAATGCATTTGCCTGAGTTTTGCATATTAACTTTGTGATCAGATGAAAACTCCTCAAACATTCCCTTCTGATGCTGAATCTGCTCAGCCTGAGCTGGGTACTGTGAGACAGTGACTTCTGTGACAGGCTCTGCTCTGGGCCCAAGAACACACCACTTTGCAAACCTGGAAGCCTTAGTTTGCATCCAGTATAGGAAGGGATAGCAACCAGGACTGTTCTGCTGCACAGCARACAGGGCACACTTGCAGGAGGGAGGGATTAGTATTTGAGTCTTTTGAGGTTGAAGCTCAGTTTGAAACCATATCCTTGATCTCTCCCCTATCATCTCACCTCTAACCATTCTATGARGAAAACTTGCTGCCAGACTTTGCTGAAATCAGTCACATCTGCAAGTGTTACAGTTTCTGAGAAGAGCAGAGGGATGGGTGCACACAGGTTCTAAGAGACAAATTAAGTGCGTCTTTTTTATCTTTACACTGAAATAGAACTCARCACCTAGATGAGCATCTGTGCTTCTCTTGGCATTAATTGTCTTCAGTCATGCAAAGAAAATTTCAAACTGTATTGAGATACAGACTGCAGGTAAAAAGGACATCCAGAGGACATCACTCATACAAGTGTGAACATCATAGATTTMACTATCTTGGACTTAGAGGTCTGAATTCATCATAAAATCCCTTTGTAAGTCATCAGTGTAGATGTGTGGATCTTTCACCATATAAAGCCTTTTATATACTCATGCGGATTCTGGTGCTCTGAGAAGGACAGGTGCTTCTCACTTTCTGACTGAAAGACACTGCTCTAGTTCAGTGTAGTTTTTTATTAATCTTCGTAAGGTTTGATGATAGCCTGTCTGCTCTGGCAAGTACTATTAAACAAGGTCTGCTCCTAGCTCTGTGCTTGTAATCACTTTGAGAAGTTCCTACCACATCTTGTCTGCCTGTTTTCTTCTTCACATATCTATAGTATGATTCAGTGTTTTATGCAACTGTACTGTTCAGTGATCCCAAACCCTGCATGTAATTTTTTTTTTTTTTGAATACGTAATGGTTTTTCTCAATTTCCATAAATGTAACTCAACAGCAAAGGAGAATGAGTTCTCTACCACTTGTTCCTAATCACAAAATATTTCCCTCTAAGTAACACTCAGAACTTCATAGTAACTGAATATCTTCCTGTAAATTAATCCAAGGAGTATCTTTAATTTTGTCCTACTGAATTATTTTTGAGCTCAAGTCAAGGCAATTATATGCTTTCAACTTAGGACTTTTCTTTGTCTGCTTGCTATATTAAATTGTTTGGGACGTCAGTGACTTTTTGGAAACCATTTAAATATTACTTATGAAAAAAAATATTTCTAGAGTCCAAAGAGTGTATTACCTAATACTTGGCACTTTGTAGTTGATATGCGTATGTGTGATTTGGAAGAATAATTATTTCCAAAGACAGTTCCTTTGCATCCTTTTTCCCAGTCAAATTAAAAATCTCTCTCCT